AAAAGCCTTGTTACCTCTCGGTCTCTTTTTATACCCTTCACATGCATCTGGTAACTAACAACTATTTGTTAGCTTTACCTTTTAGTTATTTATTGTCATGGTGCCAATTTAATCACTTCTTTTTTGTCAAGGAAGCTTAGGTTACTTTAGGCTGACAGTGCTATTAACTTTTAAAAACCCATGTACTTTAAAGAGGAATGAGAATGTGGCCATGACCTTTCAGGCTGTGGTTTAAATCACAGCCAGCAGAGAAACGCTGAGGGTGATTGATTCTGGTGTTCACTGATGTTATGCGTAGCAGCATTTCGGATAACCAATAACGTGATCACAATTGTGTATAAACAGAATAAAATTGGTACTGTGGAAAGCCTTTAATAATTGCCTGCAGCTCCTTGAAACTCCTTAATGTTCAATTAATCATCTCCTGCCTCTGTTCTGCCAGCGTGGCTCCTTTTGAGTAGCAGGTACCAGTTGTGTCAGACACCTGACTAATATTTCACCAGTGGAGATGTAACAAGGCGCAACAACAGTGACCAGGGATGGTTTTTAACTACGCTAATCGAGTTTATCATGGTGCTCTTTCAGGTCACAGAATAGACTGGGCATCTTTTCCCAGTCTCTGGTGGATTGGGTACATACATGCACATTTTTGTGTACTGAACAGTCATGTAGGAGTTAGGGAAAAAAAAGACCTGGTTTAACTCACCCTGGTTCACAAAGCAAATTTACAGGACCTCTGACCATCTATTTACTGTAGGCTTTGGGGAGAACAAGTCCACGTTAGAAGAATGGTATTAAAGTTACAAAAAAGTTAGGAAATGCCAGAAACAGCCTGCTTATTCAACTTGAAGTGGTATATATATTACCAAGTATAGATAGGTAAGTAGATAGACTGATTGGTTGATTATGGGAGTCAGTCCTTAGCTGCATAGTCACTCAGTATTTTTCCCATGGGATATCTGCTCCAGTACATGGGTCACCAAAGACTGCAAGCTTGTGTACAATACAGGTTAGACCAGCCTTAAAAACTGCAGTGGTATCTCATGTCTTCAGGCTTAGCGTGGGTCTAACTTAAAGTGTCTTAATGCACACAGTGCATTAAGACTACCGTTCAGGAGCTCTGTTTCCCGATAGTAATCTAAACAAGATCAAATGTGATTGTACAGCAACTTTGATATTAAAGGCTCTGGCGATGGAAAAGCTTTAAAAAAACTTACTGTTTGAGCCCAAAGAGAGGTATTTTAATAAAGCAGGCTGACAAAGATGTTAAAGGGAAAGTAAGTTTTTCATTTTTAGTCTGAAAATGCAAAGCCAGGCGGAAGAACTGCCTCGTAGTATTCTCACTCCTTGGGTAAAAGCGCTAGATGCAGCAGCAGGTTTCCATCTGCAGTGGTTTTGCCGGCTCTGAGCTGTGACCCTGTATCCAAGGCAACTGTTTCTGGATGTTAGGTGGTAAAGAGCTATAGAATAAATGAGAGGTAGTTGTGAAATATACAGGTATGACTCTGTCAGGGGCAATAATGATGAAATGCTAACAGGTGGAAAAGGGCTTGAAGGGAGCACCAGAATCCAAATATGGAATTTTAGTCTCAAAATTCAGAATATGATAATGTCTTCCTTGATGCAGTATACATGTTAGTCAATAAAGGCGACCCAAGACTACGGAAAGCCATGAGCTAAAGCAAGTGTGGAACAGACATGAAACAAAATTGGTTGCTCTTACTTTATCTGCCTGTATTCTGTAACCCCCATCTCTTGGGGACCAGCCCTGTAAGAGCTTAGTCTTTATGTTGCAAGAACTTCTTTCCCGCTGGAAACAGCATTCTGGTTATAGGTTATTTTGTTTATTTCTGAGAAATTACTTGTTTAAAAAGTTATATTCAACAATTTTAGTTTCTTTTGATTCCTTTAAATATAACTGCATTATTAAGAGGTGATAGAGGTGATGCTACTCTCATGATCTGCACTCTGGGATTTAAAATGGTTGCTCAGTTGTGCTGACTTGCTGTATGAGTCAAGTGCCATGGCAGGATGCTTCTATAAGAAGAGCTGAGGGCCTGGTAGAAAGAAGCAGGGACACACGATGTCCTGCTGTGGTAAAGGCTGGAAGACTTTCATGTGTTCAGTTTTCAAGGTGACCAAAACTTTCCTCCATCTCTGGTTAAATATATCTTTACTGGAAAACTGTCAACCCCTTTAATCTCAAAATATAGTAAGACAAGGTAATCGCCAAACCGATTGGCCTGAGAGAAGAGCTCACAGGTACTAAAGCCGCTATTCCTTCTTGTTTCTGGCACCATCTCTTTCACCCGTAAGAAAATGGGTAAAAGAAAAGAAAGGAAGAGCAACGGGAAGCATATCACAAGGCACGTAAGTCTTCACAGAGTCGTCCAGTTGCACTACCTCTTGAATCCATCACCAGCTTAAGTAAATTAAAAGTCCAGAGGAGCAGAATAGTAACCGCAAAACCTATTATGCAAGTCAGGATGAGGGACTTGAGCAGGGGCTGAGCTCAGACGTATTGTACAGAACACGCCAGGACTAACCAACCCCTCGTGGTCCAGGTGGTGCCGGAGGGACAAAGGCAGCTAGCGAAGGAAGACCCTGTATGAAGAGTGCGTGAGCGCACTTCTGTCTGCTGGCTGCTGACCTGAAATTGCTCTGTCTGCCTGGTCTTACTTTTTGCCTGTTTTACGTAAGTCTTAGTACTCTCGTTGCTGTGATGGGTCCCTTCACCTTGCACAGCTACATACTGAATTTTGGTAACATTATGCTTCAGAAAATCTTGCTTCAACAAACTGCATCAAAAATGTAAAACTTCACCACCTCTCACGAGTGATCACCCCAAAACACTAAAAAGCTTCAGTACAATTACAATTTGATCCAAACTGCCATTATCTCTCTTTTTTTCTTTAATTAATAAATGTGTCTAGTTATATGTGTGACAATAAACCCATTTATTTTGATGGTGATGTTCACATGCTTGCTGTGAAGCACATGTTTAAATGCTTTGCTGACAAGGCATGGGCGAACAGATGCCTTCTCCATAACGAGCTGGCCGGGTATCCCTAGCTGGCAACCGCAACAGGCTCCCCGGCTTCTTCTGGGGACCAGACACCAGTGGATATTCATCATCAAACGAGAAGGCCCCCGCGAGCAGCCAGCCCGACCCAGATGACAGCTTCACCCCACAGAGGAGGAGGAACTGAGAGGAGCTTCCCATTCCCCCGTGTTAAGCCTGGGACCCCAAGGCAGGCCTTGCGAGATCTGCTTGAAGGTGGTCTTTTAGCACGACAAAATGGAGAGACTGTGGGTCCAGAATGATGACCCCTTTGATAATTTTTTATTTTCTGGTTATACTGTGCAAGTTTTTCACCGTCTTTTATAGAAAAGGCTGTTTTTACTGTGAAGATGCTGAGGATGCAGTACAGTCGGAATTGCTGTCACACAGTCGTTTCCAAGCATTCCAAATCTGTTGTGAAAGTAGGACCACCTCTTTCCTTGTGCACCTTCACGTCATTAAAAAGATATTTCCGAGTTTACTTGTCAGGAGCATTTACACTCTTCTATCAACAAATGCGAAATTCTGTATCAATGAAGTACGAAGGTAGCACAAATAAATTACCCAGAAAAATACAGCCATTACAAAAATACATCAATAGATTTCAAGCAGCAATCTCAACTCATTATACATAGGGAATATTTTCCTATTGCTGTTTAAAGGTGTGTTATGATAATAAATTGGATTTAATGATTTCATTCTTCTCCATGCTAAAAGTAGCCCCTTTTTCTTTGCAAACTTTCATTGATGTGGTCTGATGTTGATATTTACTTCCCTGAATGTGTTACTTGCTCAGCATTTTCGTGGAACAGTAAGGTAAAGGAATTCCAGCATGTGGATTTTTCACAAACCATAAATTTAGATTAGATGTGGTTAATTACTCATGGGACATGAGCAGTCACCTCAACCCCATCAGTACGCTTTTTGACTGAACCACCAAGCATTTTTACAGGGAAGAATAGCAGAACAAGGGCAATACCTACAGAACTGAGTTTCAGAAGAATCTTCCTGAGATAGTATGTGAAATATATGTAATTCTTCTTCATAAAATAACTGGTATCAGCAAATAATGTGGAGCAAACTTACTGTATTTATTTGCGTGCAAATTCAAGATCACTTTTGCTGCTATTTAAGCCTCTATAGCTGCAAGGCCTTACTGCTTATATATAAAATTATGTGTATGGATAATGTCAAAAGACAATTCTTGTGAAGAAGAGGTGAATTAATATTGCTGCCGGATCTTTCCAGAGTTTGTATACTCCGATTTTTCTATTTAACTGTTCGGCAGTGTTTTTCCCTGTTGTAATTATCAGTCTGCAAGATCCTAGTGCTCCCAGTCTGCCAGGCGGCTCTGCGGGCAGGGGTACCTCGCCGGTGACTTAAAACGGGGCCATGGCTTTTCCTCCCTTCTGTGATTATATCGGGTGGGCTAGTCGCAGTTGGGATTTGGTTAAGACTTCAAAGTGCTGTTGTTATTTTTAAAACAATATTTGATCTTTGGGAGGTGGGGGGTTTCTTCTGTTATACAACCTGAAACCTTCCATCTTCTCAGCGGGAGTGGTGTTACCAGCCCTCGATAACAATAGCGTTATGCTGGGTTACAGCTTGTCAATAGAGAGCTCAAACTTTCCATCAGGCCACGCTGGCTCACGCGCATGGGAGCAGGGAAATGGCCTCTTCACCTCTTCTCATCTCGAGGTGGTTTGGGCTCAGGAAAAAACAGAGTGGTGTTTCTCCGTTAATATCATCTTTCATCTCTGCGAGGATGTTCTGCTCTCTCTTGAGTTCCGGTCATCTCGTTGAGCTTTCTGGTGCCGCCTTCATTCTTTACAAAACTCGGTTTCCTGCTGGCCTGAGCTGACTTAGAGGTAGCACTCCGTCTTTTGTCCAGTGAGATGGGACCTTTGCTAAGTTACGTACATCCTAAGCTTGAAAAACCATGTCATTAACGTTACTCGTTTATCTCCACACCTTAGGTTTCGGGATGACCACACCAGCAACCGTGGCTGGAAAAGTATTCCTCATCGTTTATGGCCTTTTTGGGTGTGCCGGGACTATTCTTTTCTTCAACCTCTTCTTGGAGCGCATTATCTCTCTCCTGGCATTTATCATGAAGGCGTGCCATGAAAGACAGCTGCGAAGAAGTGGTCTCCTACCTCCCAACTTCCGAAGGGGGCCAGCTATGTCGGGGGTGGGCAGCCTCGTGGGCTGGAAGCCGTCCGTTTACCACGTGATGCTGATTCTGGGAATTTTTGCTATCACCCTTTCCTGCTGCGCCTCTGCAATGTACACAGCGGTGGAAGGATGGAACTACGTTGACTCCTTGTACTATTGCTTTGTCACCTTCAGCACCATCGGCTTTGGAGATTTGGTAAGCAGCCAAAACGCTGCGTACCAAAATCAGGGATTATACAGATTCGGAAACTTCATATTTATATTAATGGGGGTATGTTGCATATACTCTCTTTTTAATGTCATCTCAATCGTAATCAAGCAAGTTTTGAACTGGGTGTTGAAAAAATTCGAATGCAGATGTTGCCCAAAGTGCCATAAATCAAGTGCCCGCCTTGGGCGTCGCAACGCCATCACCCCAGGAGCCCGCCTACGTCGACATAACATCTCAATGGACACTGATGGACAGTACGACAGCGACACCGAGGGGAGGAGGCTCTCTGGAGAGATGATCTCCATGAGGGAGCTCACGGCATCGAATAAAGTCTCCCTGGCCATTTTGCAAAAGCAGTTGTCCGAGACAGCCAACGGCTACCCGAGGAACGTTTGTATCAATACGAGACAAAACGGTTTCTCCGCAGGGGTGGGTGCTCTAGCCATCATGAACAACCGCTTGGCAGAAACAAGTGATTCTAGGTAGAGTTTTTGAAATTCCTTTTGTTTCTTTAATAAAAATAAAATGGTGATTAGGGTGGAATTATCACTGTAAACTACTGGAAAGTTTTAAATGCAGAGACAGCCTTGCTATTCATTGGGCGTTCAGCATTTTAGTTTCTGGGGGTTTTATAAGTCTTCTCTAATATGCAGTAACATCTTTACTGTAATGTTATCATTTTCCCCGAAGGGGTTTTTTGGAAGAGACTTGGATGTCTTTGATGCAGAATCTAATGCAAGTATAGAAGAGTGGTGTGCATGGTTATGATGGTGTCAAAACCAACGTGTTCTTTTTCAGAACATAGGCTGAACCCAAACTCTGGGTTTAAATGCAAAAAATGGGCAAGTTCAGCTCCAGATTCAAACTTGGGGTTGATAAGGTTTGGCTAAAGCAGTATCTCACCATTTGTTGAAGTCTGGATCTGGCCCTTAACTTTGTACTCGATGCTCTTCAGCAAATCCTCATAGCAGGCCTGTATATAACATACACGTAGGTGACTGCAGTTACACCAGCTTTAGGGTGACTGTGCTTCACTTGAATAATCCTGCTGACTTCAATGGTAGAGGATCAAGTGGGCTGAATTCCCCTGACCATAAATGTTGGCTTTTAGTCAATCTTGTCTGAAACACTACCTGCTACCTAATTCTTAAAAGTCAGGGGATTATCAAGAACCGTGTCAAAATGTGCAAAACTATTCCTACCTGCTGAATTACTGAAAACAGTCAATTGTCAGCTTCGATACTGCCTTCATTTAATGCAAGAGAAGCCAGTACGCACCTCTGGTGTCAAATGTTTGCATCACCTCTGAAATGCTTATTTTATTACTTTTACATGAAAATAAGCAGCTAAAATGAATGTAGGCTCTCTGTTGTCCTAAATTTGCATCTTTTGCTTCTGCAATATTGGTGCAGAGATTCATGCAAATGATTTCTTTGCAGTTTTTTGGGGACCCCAATCCTGTACTTGTTTCCCACAAATCTGATTGTGAAGGTTATACAGAAGAGCATTGCTTTGGAGCTCCCCCAGAAGCTGGCTTCCCCCAAAACGTTGGTACTAAGTCACAAATTGGCCTAAGGCTGTTCCTACTGTCTTAAGTCATATTTAACCTGTTCTAGCCCAAACCACTGAAGAACCAGAAGCATCTTCAAGCAAACCTGGTCTAAGTGTCTAGGTTAGCGTGACAAATGGGTGCATAGGAATTACTGCAAATCTCTTTCAGAAATACATGCAAAGCTCTGGATTATTTCTCTAAATTCTCTATACTATGCCACTCCTTTAATGTTGTGAAGGTAATAAAAAGACTTCTGCTGATTCCAGCAAGAAGTACAACTTAGGCTTGAAGTCTGAGAAGCCACAATGGTCAGCTCTTGAAAACAATTTGCATAATTATAGGCAAGATCATGAGTACTAGGTTGATTGCTGAATAAATTGAAAAAGCTGATGAAAACAAACTAGGAATATTAGAAATGCTTGAAAATATTTCCATGAATTTTCATATAGATATTTTACTCTCTTGTTTATATTTACTTTACGTTGTTTTGCATGGGTTTGGGGTATCCATCGGTTTGCTTTCCTTTAAATTTGTAGTAGTGCAAAACGTTTTGGAATTTAACCTCAGAAAACTAATTTTTTATTTGAAGTTTTGCACACTTGAGCCTGCCAGCTGAAGTATGGCAATGATTGTATCTTTTGCCTGAAGGAGAAGGAACCAGAGCAGCAGATAAACCATCACACGTGGATCTGTATCATAAAAACATAGTCACAGCTTTTATCAAGATGCGTTTGGCCAGAAACACTCAATGATGTTTGTGTTCTGTATCTGCCTGATATGGACTCATACTTCAGAGTACGTGGTACGGCAGAGACCACATTCAAGAGGCATTAATCTGGCAGGAGCTTCTGGGGTGGCAGAGAGACCCCCTAAGGTCCATGTGTCCACGTGCCTGTCTGTCTGTGCACTCCATGTCAGATGCTACGTTTGAGTGGCCCTTTGAAGAAGCAGGCAGAGGTCAAAGTGTTTGGTGATCCTAATTTGAAGCCCACTGAAGGATAAATTTAAGCAGGATGTGTAGGGGCAGGTCGTGGTCTAGGAAGGACTCAAAGACCGACTGCAAAGACCCAGTTCAGGAAGGTGACTTCCAGAGCTGCAGGGACCATTTCTGGAAACAGCAGAGGCAGGGAACCGAAAGAATACAAATTTGTGCTTTTCCCTCAGGATTACCCCCATGGGTAAATCTCTTTAACTGTGATGATTTATGTGTTTGTTTATGAAGGGTGTGTACGGGGCACTGCTCTCTTTTTGCAGCTAGACCTCTCTTAGGGTTGTATCTTGGTACATTTGCCGTCACGGGGACTATTACTCATTAGAACGGACCCCGCTGTGTGAAGTGCTGCATAAATCGAGGCAGATGGGCTCCGTCCCAAAGGTCTTAAGTCTTTGAATAGATGGGATCCCAAGCCACAGCAGAATTATTTAGGTTTATCATTTTACTCATAAAAACATGTTCAAATGCATTAACATTCTGTGAGCTCAAGAACTATATTTTTATGATCACAAATCTGCAAATTAAGGGGTTTTATTTTTTCAGTAAGTGTTTTTAAAAGATAAATATTATAACTATGATTAGGGACCTGTTAAAATGTTTGTAAATTGTTTTCAAACTACCTATTGCTGCCTGGAAAACACAGCGAAGTCACTTTTTCTGAGTCCAGTCAAAGGCAGACATACAGTCTGTTGTAATATGATTTAAATGTTTCTGAGTCTTTTTGGTACCATTGATCGCAGTGGTGCCGTTGCAGGACCCTTTGCAGTTCCTGTTGACTTCAGGGGAAGTTGGATTGGCTCCCACAGCTGGGTTCCCCAAGAGATTTGGGCATCTGATTGCTACTCTATGCATTTAGGTCTAATGTTTCTTTACTCGCAAGATCCTTGATAAATTCCATTCTGCTTCTCCTTAGCCTCAGAGGCATATAAAATGTATGCCCAATTTTCTACCAGTGCCCCTGTTTCTTGCAGCGCACATATCCCCAGAAGCTGACACGACTCAACTACAGGGACCCCCAGCTCGTATCTAAGCCCTGTAAAAATCCCCAATCCCATCTGGCTCAGACAGGCCAGTTTATGAGAGGGTTCAGAGCACGATTACTGAATTGGGTCTCACAAGGGCTGACCTTATAGTTCCCTCATACTCAGTAGCCAAAGTATTTTTCAAGGATGCATGAAAACCAAGCTCCAAATCTCTGTTCTTCTGCCTGCTAGCACTACCTGGGCACCCATCACCGGTATGCATGAGTACATGGGCCAAGAGGACATAGGAGATTAGAGAGCAGTCTTTCCTAGTCCTTCCTGCTCTTTCTTTAGCTTTTTTTTGTGACAACTTCTCTTTAAACTTGCAAGACTTGGGCACCTAACTCCTCTCTTTTATTGTGCATGATCCAACTCAGGATTCCCCAGGGCAGCCTGCTCCTTTTGTGAATTAAACCCTAAACATGAACCAGTTGCACCAAGTGCAATTCCTCCTGGTATTTCATTTTCACAGACAAAGCAGATACCTGCAATACCCGGACACAGGCTGAAGCACAAGAAATCAGAAGGAAACAGAAGGAACAGAGTGGGACAGTGAAAGCACACTGCAGTAGATTGCACTTTCTTTTCAGGTAACTTGGGGGTTGTATTACATTCTTGAAATGATTTTTTTTCCAGGTTTTATTTTTGGACAGCCTTGAAGGAATGCAATTAACTTAGGATTTAAAAGTTCATCTTCCCTGATACAACCCCCTTTGCACCACCCTGCAAAATGGCAGTGACTCCTACCTGGCACAGGCCCAGCCATCCCAGTTGCCTGAGCAGCTGTACAGGCAGCACGGAGGGGAGCTCAGACCCCGTGCCCCAAATTGGTCTTTTGCTGTCTGGGCCTGAGAAGAGCGTTCGGGAGCAGCAGAAAGCTGCAGGACTTAGGACTTCTCTGTGAGACAGTCCCTAGTGAGCAATGATTGCACAGGCATGAGTTGCTCAGACCTCCAGCGCGAAGGGAGGAGATACCGTGTTCACCTGGCCCGCGTGCTAATACCTTGCAGATGAGAATTAAAATTTAAGTGAAAATTAATAAGGGACAGTGACCAAATTCAAGCGACGTATTCTCTTTCCCCTGGAGCTCGGGGCAGAACAGTTACAAGGAGCAGTTTCTTGTGAAACCTGTAGTGTTTGACAAGTCACTACAATTACTTCTTAGGGTTTGTCTTTCCCCTGTGTGTCTCAGACAAAGTTTGGAGTCACACTGAGACGTCACCCAATTCTCTTTGGTTTCTTCCCATCCGCAAACACGCTTCTCATTTTGTGCAAAAAATTCAGATCGCCTTTTATTTCCTTGCAATGCAAAGGATGTCCTTCAGACGGTATAAATGTTCAGAGAAGGAATCTCATTGACCTCAGTCACAGATGGAAGTTTCTGAAGGATGAGGCTGTAGTTTGCCTGTCTCCCTGCGGAAGAAGCATTGCACAAGTAACTCCATTACTGCTAGCAAGATGTACAAAGGTACTTTAGGCAGTGGTTAGGGCTTTGTAGCAGTAGGCACAACTGAAAGTGGAAAGAAGGTCTGTTTTAAAGGATATTTGTGCCTCTTTGACATATACTTGCTATTTGATAACCCAATTGCCAGCTATAATTGCAGCAAAAATACCCGGTGGAAGACAAGAGAGGTATAAGAATCGTGTTAAAGCTCTTGGTGACCACCCCATGCCATGCTCGGGTTGCCCGGGGATGCACGGCGATGCTGCCTCTCGGTGTAGCGCGGGTGTCCCAGCACGGCTTCAGCCCTGGCCCTTGATCTCTTCTCCTCCCCAGCTTTCTGTGGGTGAAAATTTGGGTATACTATGACCATTTATCTGTATTTCAGTCATGTCTTGACTTGCTACTGAAAGGAGGACTTGAGCAGCAGTGGAGGCCATATAGCCAGGCATGCAGGCCTGATTGCCTGTGTGGGAT